TTGCTCCTCTGGTGGGCTCCTCTCGAGACACACAGATAAATTTAATTTTTAATTCTGATTTATTTTGCCAAATGATTGCAATTGAGAGGGTGGAAATTATTTTGTATCCACGCGCCATTTGTGTCGCATGCCCTTGTATTCTACAAAATTCATGGCTTTATAATTTCAATTTTCCTTTTTTTTTTTTTAAAAAAAATAGATTTAGTCACTTCATCGAGATGCGCCTAAATCAACTCTGATGACACTATCTAACTCTAAAATAAGAGAGGCATAGAACGTGCAAAGTATCGTTGCACAATCATATTGTATTTAGAGTGTATTGGGGTTAACACACCACTCGAGTGTGTATATCTTGAAACATTTCGACATTACATCTTGAATCCAAATCCTACATTAATAGGTGTCACATGCCTATATATTCTACCAATTTCATACATCAATTTTGTTTTTTTTGTTAACCCATCGACTTAATTTTTATCTCTTTACTTATATTGAAACATCAATTTAACCCTATATAATATCAGATTATTAAATTCTTATAATCTAAAATTTATTACTATTTCGAGTATAATTTTTTTTTTATATTCGTATTTCCGGACCAGCTTGCACGCACCTCGACTATCCACGGATCAACCGTCTTACCCTACTACATTTGGTTGATAGTTTTGAGTATAGTTGAATATATATAATATTTATTATCATCTATTTGCGATGGTTGAACTACAAAATATTGATGACTATTTAGTATTTAAATTTTAGCATGTAATCATCCAGATCAGTTATTAAGCTGCAAATATTTTTTCTTTTTGGAAGAGGATGGAGTATTCGAACTTATATACATAAAGTAACAATCAATTTACTTTTCATTTTGGTTCATAAACTTTTAGATTTATTTTATACTAATATCCAATTTTCATAATGTTCATGTTAGTCTTTAACTTTTAAAAAACAATCATCGGGTTGTACCTGTTATTTTATAATCATTTATTTGAACAACATAATCAATTGTTTAATAAGTGGTATTTTTTAATATATGTATTAATGTGTGAAGTTAGCATGTATTGTAGTCGTATACGGTGAAGCCAGCATTGGGTGGAGTGTTTATTATATGATATCTATATTTCAAATATGGTTGTGTTGTCTCTAAAAAAAGAAAGGTTCTTGATTGAGTTAACAAAAACATTTCTATTATATGGTACATTTTTTTTAAGAAATTATTGTAGATTTATTTTTGGTAGGTGGCCGTCGTGCAGTTTGAATTCATTTTCTCTTAATTAACCATAATTTATTTGGACCAATGAGCCAACTATGATGATTACATGATAGATTTTCAAATATGACCCTACAAATTATGGTATCTCATGTGTTTACTACATGAAATAATTTAAACGTACATATAGTGTATCAATTTTTACATTATACTGATTTAGTATTAGATTTTAGTAAGTATTGTGAGACATACCTTAAATTTGAATAATTGTTACCATTTGTACCTTATAACACTTTTGTTTGAATAATCACTAAAAAAATATCATCACATGCATTCATCGAATTATAAAACACGACTCTAGTACGAGATTGATGGGACTTAAAAAAAATACATATTGAAGTTAGATTTTTATTGAAATCTATAAGTTTTATGATAATTACTTATTTTTTTAAATTATTATGAAAATTACTTAATGGTTTAATATTGTGCATTAACATGACTTAATTTTGTGCCTAAGTTGATGTTTGTTGAAATTGGTTAATTTTTAATAAAATATAATTTACCTTGATTTTTGTTGAAAGTTACCATATAGTTTTGTTTTTTTAGTGAGAAGTACAAAAGAGGTGCAATTTGCAGTCATAAAGTGGTTCAACTAAACTTTGAAATTGAGATGCATAAATAAACGTAATTAAAAAAAAAAAAACAAAAGAAAAAAAATTTGATGAATTGTCCACTAATTTGTTGACTTTTATAATTTAATAATCATGTATCATTTTTATATTCCAATTTCGATAACGATGTTATACATTTAATGTTAAATTTTATGTATAACAAAAGTATTTAAAAAATAAAATAGACGATTAACAATACAATTATATTATCCGTTGCAAACACCTAGAAATAGTCCTACACTTTCACATTATTATTTTAAAAGTTGGATTTAATTTAATAAATTTAAAGTTAGAACTCACTTACCAGATTTAGAACATAAAGCGATAAAGATTTAATTTATCTTATACAATAAAAAAATCAAAACTCATCCACGTATTATTTATTATTATTTTTTTCTTTTTAGGATATAAGTCTAACTACTGGTTGATGGAAGCTTTGCAAGGAATCTAGTAGTACATTTATTTGATGGAAAAATAAAATAAAATAAGAAAAAAGATTCCCAATGAGACAGATTTAATTCGGAATGACACCATAGTGTACTACACCACCTAATATCTTCACTTGTGGGCAACACTATATGCTTAGATTACAAGCCAGCCAATGTGGTGGACCTCTATTTTGTTTTGGGCCACAAGTTTTTTTTTTTCTCCTTTTCTTACGTGGATATTGACTGCAGGGAGGATTTAAACTTCTGACTTTGTCGAATATTACAAGTCTGTCAAGATGGTGGATCTCAATTTTTTTTTTCTTTTTCATTAGTGAGTTGGTGATAAATCTAATATAAAGCCATAGAGAGTAGTTCCGTTAAATTTATTTGACATTGGATATATTAGTAAATTAATAATTTTTTTTTGATTCAGTAAATTAGTAATTGATAATGAATATACGAGTTAATTAATAAAAGATAAGAAAAATTAATATTTTTTTAAATTCAATAAATGTGGGTAGGTATAGGATTGAGTTTGATTTTAAGAAATATATGAATGTGTTTGTTAGCGCAATAGTGAGGGTAATAATTTGACCTTCCCACCCTAAATAAAATAGTAGATTCTTGAGTTATGGGAGTTTACAGTGACGTAGATAATAAATGTCTTATCTAATAAATTCTAGTTGAATTTAGTTTTCATGAAGATATTTTTTTTAACGTACTCACCAATAATTGATGATATGAATTAGCAAGTCTCCATCAAGCTTCAGCGAAGATGTTGATTTTATTTATTTACTTTTGTTTATGCTAGTTAGGGTTTAACCATTAGACCTTAGTCTAAAGTGTTAACCTTGATATTAGTAATTTATTTATTTATACCAAAATAAATTAAGATTTTGGTATTTGATCTCACCTAGGTTATTTTTATCAGTAAGCCATATATAGGGTTATCATTTAGGTTGTGAGGGACAATTAAGTTTTAATGAAAATTTGAGCATTTGAGTCATTTCTCTTCAGCAAGCCAAGTGCGCTTGAATTTTGCAAACTTGGAATATTCAAGATGGGTTTGATAAACCTCTCTTGTGGGCTGTTCAATATTGAGTAGGTAACTAGCTCTCATTGTCTCGTGGTATTCGATCAACAAGGTAACCTTATTCTAACCCTTCTTTAGGGTTGTGCTAAATTTATTTTGGGGATTTTAGTGAATGAGAATTAGGGGTTCACGTACACAAAGGTTCCTAATTATAATTCGCTAGAGTTTTCATATCAATTGGTATTGGACATATTAGTTAATTAATGGTTTAAATATAGTTAATACGATAATGTATAAATGAATCAATTAAGGTTAACTAGTTAACCTATAGTTATAAATATAGTCAAGATGATCGTTAATAAATGAATCGGATCTACTTTTTGAATTTAATTTTAAAAGGTTACCTATTATAAAATTTGCAATAGATTTAGTTTTTTTTTCAAGATTAACACAAAACAATTTATTGTTTATCGTCTAATACAAATATAAAGTAACAAAATAATATTTTATGAATCAACAAGAACAAAAAAATATTTTTATTTATATTTTGGACAAAATTGAAAACAAACAATAAACTTGATTGTGTTGTTTCAAACATTTAAGCACAATGTTAGAAATATTTATTGGAAATGAGAAACAAAAACAATTAACAAACTCTTACATTTTTACAAAGTTTACATCAATAACTTACTTAGTCAAAAAGTCAAAATTTGATTTGAGAAACCTATATGCGATCCAGTATGGCTAGAATAATCCGACAAACAATTTTATATATGATTAAGTTTGTGAAATTAATTTTTTTTTATTAAATATATCATGAAGACAACTAAACAATCCAATTCGAATTAGGGATGACAAAAAAATCCGCGGGACCCGATCCATGCGGGTATCCACCCGATCGGGTCGGAAAATATCCGGTTTGATCGGGGACGGGGTTAAACTAGGGATCTCAATCGGGGTCCCTGACAAGGACGGGGGAGGATTCTTCGTACGGTCCCCGTCCCCGTTTAATATTTTATTGCTTTTCCTATTATTAATATATATTAATTTTATAAATACTTTTTAATTTTTGTAAAAAAGCTAAATCTAATATCTCATTTAACCATTTTTTGTTCACTTTTTATACGAGTAATAACAAAAATTAATTAAAAAAATATTTATAATGGGGATGGGTTATCCCGGAGAACCCAATCGGAAAAATCCCTGCCCCGTTGGAGACTTGTTCTCTCATCCCCAAAATTTTGTGGGCGAGGATGGGGATGGCCCCCGCCCCATCCCATTGCCATCCCTTATTCGAATATAGTTGAAATAGTTAAAGCATATATTTTCGATTAAAAAGTCATGGATTCGAATCCTCACCACAACATGTTGTCGTACTAAGAAAATATAACTCAATTGATAGAGACATATATAATCGGACAAAAAGATCAAATGTTCGAAATTCATAAACTAACAAAATATATATATATATTTATTTATTTATTTATTTGAACCATGATTAAGACAACCATGTTGATAATTTATGAGAAAAATATTGTCAACGTCTAAATTTGACCGGATTAATCCATTTTTACTTAAAACTTTCAATTTATTTAAACTTACGACAAAGATTACAAAGTTTAAATTTTAATAGAAAAGGAAAATTATGTCCTTACATTATTGTTTTTATACCTTTACATGGGAAATAGGTAGCTACGTGGGGACAAACTAAACAAGCATACAAAATAAAAAAATTTACAAAATTGATTTCCCCTAATATTTGCATAATTCCCGTTCCCAAACAAGCCCTTATTTTCAGTTCTACCCCGATCGGACCATCGGTGGACGTTTAAATATTTGAACCGTAGGGTTTAGGCCTTTGGGCAGCCCTATCATCTTCATCTCTCCAATCTTCATTTTCCCACTAGGGTTAGGTTAGGGTTAGGGTTTTTTCTGTCGTGTGATACACGTTTGCAGGTTCTTGGTAGCGCTTCGTCTTCCCAGAGAGAAACGTTCATAACTCACTATGGCGAGGTACCGGAGCCGGAGCAGAAGCTACAGCCCTCGCCGGCGCAGCAGAAGCCCGCCGCGCGGGCGGAAGCGGTATGACGACGACCCTCGAGACCGGTACCACGAAAGCAGGTCTTACAGGGACCGTCGCTCTCCCGCTCCTTCTGGGTTACTCGTGCGCAATCTCCCTCTTGATGCCAGGTATTTCATGTTCTTCTTCGAGCCTTATTTGTTATCCCTAATGTTTTACTTTCTTAGTTTGTTAGAGGAAGTGGATGGCAATTTTACTTGTGCGTTTGTACGCTATTAGTGTTATTTTCTCTGTCTAGAGTTTCGATGTTTGAGCAGTGGGAAAATACAGTTTGTTTTTGGAATTATGATTAGTAGTTATATTATATAAATAGTTGGTCGAGTGGAGCCTTTGTTGCGTGTAATTTATTGTCAAGATGTGTGTAATCACTCTACATTGTATTGTTTTATGGTTTCCAATTGTCTATCTATGCTATGAATTATTAAGAACAACGACTTAGTGTTTTGATTGCATTCATTCAGGCCGGAAGATCTTAGGACTCCGTTTGAGCGATTTGGTCCTGTCAAGGATGTGTATCTGCCTAAGAACTACTACACTGGGTATGACTACTTTGTCATGTTAGCTTGTGCGCACTTGGGTGTTGAAGAAACCAATTTATTACTTCCTGGTACTTTTTTCTCTTAATTATCAGGGTATCCACACTATAAAATAGAGTTTTGGTTATCTTAATTAATAAATTGACTGGTACTTTTTCTCCTACCTATTAGGGTATCCACACTAGAAAATATAGTTATGGCTACATTACTTATGAATGGAAGATCTAGAAAATTGATATTGTTTTTGAAATTAAGTTAGTGAGATCAGAAGTTTGGAGCAGCATTGAAGTTTCAGAGTTTAAATTGCCTTTTGTATCTTGTAGTTATCTAGTGAAGATTGTTTAACAATTTAATTTTCTTGTAGTTATTTAGCGAAGATTTTTGAACAATTCAATTTGATGAAATGAGGATTAAAATTTCTGTATATGGAAGGGATCTCCAAATTCTTTTAATAACCTAGACTGAGTGCACACTTAATCTAAGAGAAGATAAGGACGATTAATAAGAAATTTGTTGATAGGAAATGATATTTTGGTTAGTGTGTTATGAGAGTGGTTAACATTTTAGTTCAAACAATTTTTTGAATTTTGTTGATAATAAAGATGCTACAAAAGTATAAATTAGATGACAATGGAGATTATATTATTCTCTGTGTTGTATACTTGAATTAACAAGTGATTTTGCCTAAAATTTATCTGTTGCTTCATATAGTATTCAGGTTTTTTGCCTTACTACCAGATGTTGTATTAAATATAGACAGATGTATCGTTCCCTCAGAAAAATGCTCACTTCCATATGTAAACTTAAGCCAGAATATCTGTTTTCTTAAGAGAAAGTTGTCTGCTTAAAAGGTAACAATTATTAATTGGACAGAAAATGAATACTGCTTATCAGATAATATTGTGTTGTGACCGGTGATGTCGTGGCAACCCTTTCTCCAGTTAGTACCAACCGGCTTTATATTTCTTGTGTTTTTAATATATGGGTTTATGACAGACTAACAGTAACGACCTGTTTCTTTGTATTTATTTTGTTAAATATTTATATAAATTTCATGTCAATTGTAGGGAGCCCCGGGGATTTGGGTTTGTAAAGTTCCGATTTGCAGAAGATGCAGCTGAAGCAAAACAACAGCTAAATCATACAGTTATAGGTGGTCGGGAGATACGAATTGTGTTTGCTGAGGAGAACAGGAAAACTCCTCAAGAAATGCGTGTGACTTCACGTTCAAGGTTCTATGACCTTCCACCTAACTTCTATCTTGCAATATCCTTTTTGGTTTGGATTGAATATCTTCTCATGAAAGGATTATTTCTAGTCTCGGACTGATATATCGTTGGTCAATTTATTGCTTTTCATATTTAGTGGCAGAAGCTACCGAAGGCGGTCTCCAGCAAGGTCTCCAAGACGGCGATATCGTTGTCAGTGTCAATACATTTATCTTGCTCTTTTAAATGACTTTCATGAAAAGAAGAAATCATATTTGGGTTGCTTGATGTTTTTAGAAGTCATTGTGATGCAATATTGTGATTACACCCTCATTTTATGCTCAGCACCTTCTTTTATTTGACTGCAGCTTACTCGCGCTCTCCTTCACCTGCCAGGCATGACTCAAGGTTGGATCTTATTTGTCATACTCATTTTATTACTAGCAAGTAGCAGCATTAATATCATTATAGTCCTGCCGTTTCCATTTCTTCTTGCTACTACCATAATTTGAAATATTATTTGTTCCTATTTTGATAACTAGCAAGTTGCCTGAAGTTTTGGTATTATAACATTTGATCCCTATTTTCTAACTACTACGTACTACCATAATTTGAACCCTATTTTGGTGCACTATAACATGTCATAACATTATTTTTGGATGAGAAACATAGTGTAGGATTTTGAATTTTGGTACTTATGGAGTATCCAGACCTTCAATTGAAGCATTTGTTCAATGTTAATGTACATATCTTTTTCAGTATAACCTAAATGATTTTGTTTGTAATTTTAATGTAAGACTAGGTCCACATTGAGTGGAAATTTATGCTTGTAGAAATATTTTGATAAACTAATAATAACTCTATTTACTAACCTGAAGCTGGCCCTACTTGGTTTTATGATGTCATTAGGCCAGACTTCAGTGTTTTTGTTTTTTCTACATGCGTTCATTGTAGAATATATATTTCATTTTCTTGAATGTTTTCATATTTTAAACAAAGCGACTAAATCTAATGTTTGATGCATGCGGATTATTCTCTCCTCCTTACATTATACAGGGTGCATTGCTGGAAATTGTACACAATCTACTTAATTCCTTGTTTATGCAGATATTAAAGTGTAAAGGGAGACTTTAAAGACTTGTTGATTAATAAAGTTTAACAAGAAAAGCGATCATAGAGTGATGGGCAACTTGCTTACTTTACCTATCGAACCCTCTCCATGAGTACAATCTATTACTTATTACATTGTCTTAGTTGCATGAATTCTATTTATTTGTTGACATTTGTTCTGTGAGGCTGAAGTTAAGCATTGGTGAGAGTTTAAAATCAAAAGTTATCTATGATTCTTCTTTTTCCCTTTCTTTTTGTCCCTTGCGAATTTCAACAGTTTATTAGTAAGAAAGTGATTTTTTAAGTTTGATATCTTCTTTTGCATATACCATCCAGTTAAGAAAGATTAGAGCTTATAGTTGGCCAAAGAAAGAAATCATCTTCGAACGAGAAAGGCCAAAGTTTTACTGGTTGTGGTATGGTGACATTGTCCAAGAAAAAGATAATGTGATTTTTAGAAAGTTGGGGCAAAGAGAGCTATGAACTTGTCAGAAGCTGATCAACCAGTACAGCTTAATAGAGCATAATTCTCAGTGTTTGGATCTACTTGTCATAATTTTGTTCGGAAACCTGAAAATGGTGCAGGTAAAAGTCATGTTTCAGTTGATCAGTTTTAAAAATGATGTTAATAGAAGCTTGTGCTTGTATAAGTATGATATAGTATCATAAGTACCTATTGAACATACCTCATTGGAGCTCCATGAAGACTGCTTGGACAGGTTCTCTTTCCTGTTATAGAGGGAGGCGGTTGTGTTGTGCTTTTTAAAGTCTGAATGGAATCATATCTGTTCAACACGCTGATTTATTCTTCTGTTAATATTTTCCCCACTGTTGTGGCTGAGGCAGGAACCGTGGGGCAAGGGATGAGTATCTCTCTCCTGCAAGATCTAGATCAATTTCACGATCTCGTTCCCCTCATGATAGGCGAGATTATAGCCGGTCTCCAAGTCCAAAGGAGAACGGTCGGAGCCCTCGTGAAGTGGACATTGAACGCAGTAGGTCAAGGAGTCTGAGGGCTGATAGCCGCAGTCCTTCTGGATCTCGCTCACAATCCTATAGGTAATTTGCCTTTTAAGTTCCTCTAAGTTGTCTTCTAGAAGTCTGTCTCTTCATGTCATACAAAGAGGATCTATGCAGGCAATTGTTTTTGGTTGTGACTTGATGAATATTTGATTAACATCTTGCGTATTGGCAGTTTCAATGTTCATACTGAATTGCTGATTATTTAGACTAAATAAAGTTTGTATGACCGTTTCCTTTTTCCTTGCTGATTCATTTGAAATGTTCAAAGGGGTTAGGGAGGCCTGTGCCCATTGTCAATAGATGTCTAATATATATGAGTTGGACCCCTAAAAAAAAAAATTGCATATGATGAACTTAGGTATTTAAGAAGCTCATGATATATGGCATATGCTTGAACGATACCATTTTTTCAAGGTTTTTTTTGGTAATCTAGTGGTCTTGTAGGATTTAGCAAAACCCTTTTGAGAGATTTCATTGATTTGCCAATGCCCACACTTAGTACAAAATTGAGATCCCTCCTTGGGCAGGGGACAATAAAGTCGTTGACATCAATTTGTCATGATAGAACTTTTCTCCAGGTCCAAATGTGGTGGTGTTTAACCAGTAATCTTTTCACCTGGTTGATTGAAGAATTTACAAAGTGACTAACACACTGCCATTTGTATGCTTCTGCAGCCCTCGGTGATGGATGCACCGTGCCGCTACTACAGTCCTCAAGATTTCTTTAGCATGCCTTGAGTTGCGGCCAGATGTAGTTTGCTATTCGATGCCATGGAGTTGTGTAAGGGAATTTTAATTTATATGTTTTAGTTGGGAGGCAGGAGTTGAGTTGAGAACTCTTTATCCAAAAAAAAAAGGAGTTGAATTGAGAGCAATGAGTGAAGGAGTTTACTTGATCATGTGAATTCATGCTGGTAGAGTCATAGACTACTTTTTACTAGATTTAGAATTTTGGGTTCAGTGGATTTCGTTTGACTCTTGTATATGATAGTGGTTGTATTTGCTGATACCTTTAGCGTTTGAAAAACATAGGATGCTCAAATCTAATGACTTGTTTCTTTTGCAACCCTTTTTTGTATTATGTTCTAAAGAATTGGTATCGTTTTTTGTTTGTTTGAAGTCAAGTTTTAAGCCTTTTTGTGAAGTGAAAGATAACGTGAACTTATTATCAAATAATATTAATCATCCTTGAAGTCGCAAAAATGTATTGAACCTAAACATGCACTTTGAAGTTTATTTTGTATCTTTACTTGTGTTCGTGATTCTGTTTGATATGTGTGGCTTTGTTCCTTTTTGATGGATCCACGTTCTTAACTTTTTCGGTCCCATGAAAACGGTTCTAACATTAACTTGTTCACGCAAGAGTCTGAAGGCATCAGGGTTTTGGAGAGGAAAACGAGTAACAAGGTAATGGTGTCCTCCTCCACCAAGTTGAAAGACAAATCTCATTACAATACTTGCTTTTTCTTTTCTACTGAGACATGGAAGCAGGGTGAGCAAAAAAAAAAAAAAAAAAAGAATTCTCTACCTACAGCAGTACAGAAAAAGAAGTTTGTTTAATGCACTAGAAGTTCAAAACTGAAAAATAAAGTACATCGCTCTAAGTGAGTATAGCGTTGCGACTTCGATTTCTCATCTTCACAGAAAAAGAAAAAATGGTAAATTAGTAGCTCTTATGTGTACACTTGCTAGGATTATGTATTAATGTTTTTGTTTGACTGTGTTTTTTGAGTTCATAAATTTTGAATACTAAAAATATAGTTGCAAAAAGCAATTTGTTTCCTTAGTTTAAAGTTGGTAAAAGAATTTAATCTTTATCTTGAATTTTTTTTTTTAAAATTTAATAATGATCAAATGTATTTATAAATTACAAATATTGGATCATTGCCTCGTAAAAATGAACAATTAATTTTGATGAGAACTAAATTACTATAAATTTTAAATTATAACAACGAATTTGTTACCTACTAAAATTTAGTGTCATAGAGTTCAGGCGGTTGCTAACGTGCGCGGGAGGTCCGGTTAACATACAACATTGTAATATTTGTAATTCTTTGAGGGCATATATGTCTTTCTGATCTTTCTTCTTCAGTTCTCCGTATAGCCTATTTCGGCGACGGCGGAAACTTCACTCCGTATTCTCTTCGTGGCGGCGTTTCTCGTTGGCCGATCGCTCCCCTCGCTGGAATTGGCTGCTCATTCTTCCGAGTCCTTTTGCGCCATATTTTGTGTTTATTTTCCAGTAAGTTCAGCAGAAAATCATTTAATTTTTCTCTGTTTGAGTATCGTTTTTGATGATTGTGGTTTTAAGTTGGATGGGTTTGTTTACGCCGATCTGAAATGAGCCATCGCTTAAATATTTCCTGGAAATTGCTTTCATATCCCAATGTGTCTGTTAAATTTCAAGCTCGGGCTGTTTTAGTTGAGTTTTCCGGACGTGTAAACTTAACCTCGATCATGATGAAGAATTTGCTCATAGTGAAGTTCTAGTTAGTAAATCGAGAAGTCTGAAAAATCGGAGTGATTGTGAAACAAAAGAATTTTATGTCAAGCGATGCCTAATTTTCTGGAGAACTGTAAACATGAGCATTTTATCATAAGCATTCTGAGGATTTCTCAGAATTCAGATCAAGCGTGCGAGTCGAATCAAATCCATTTAGAATTTAGTTTTATTTTTTTTCTTTTTCAGCTCTGTGGGTGCTTAATGTCATCTTCGATACGAAATAATTTTGCCATATGCTTGAAATGACCACTATTGTTATTATTTTCCCCCCTCTTATATTTTTGTTTTTGAGCTGACATGTAGTTTGTGTTTGAACAATGCGTATTGAGGTTCTTTGGTATTGGGCGGCTAAAATGATTGATGGCTATGGTCCATTATATTCTGATGACAAACATGTATATTGGGTTCTGATTCTGTTGCTATGTAGATAAACTACAAAATGGGTGACAAGAAGAAGAAGGCTACCATGTTCATCAGACTTGTCTCAGCTGCTGGGACTGGATTTTTCTATGTCAAGAGGAAGCCAACTAAACTAACCGAGAAGCTCGAGTTCCGGAAGTACGATCCTCGAGTGAACCGTCATGTTCTGTTTACAGAAGCCAAAATGAAGTGAGGTTATCTTGAATCTGTTCTAATCCTGATGATGAATGTTCTTTCACTTATTCTTGCTTGTTAGTTGCAACTGCAATGTCAAATACTTGATTTATAGCTTATGTCAGTTGGGTTTTCCATGGTCTCTCTCCCTCACACACATTTATATAAAAAAAATACTATGCTTTGCCTCTTGAAGAAAGTAGAGAAAATTTGAACCCCATGTACTTCTCTCTCTCTTTAGAATGTAGCTTCTTTTTCTTCTCATGTGATATAAAAGTGGCATAAGCCAAAGATTTATTTACCTTTAGCTTATCATACTCTCATATTAGAGATACAATAGATCCGTATTGTTTTATTATTTATTTATTATCTTTACAAAGCACATAAGATAATTAGAGAAGCTTTTAGACCATAATTTATTTTTAAAAAAATTCACATCTCATTAATCACCAACCTAGTGGTTATTGAAGTTGGTGAAAAAATAGTAGAAAATGTAAGAGGAATGAGTTCAAATTATGGTGGTTAGGATCTTAAGATTCAATATCCTATAAGTTTTATGGTCAAACGATATTTTGATGAGATGAGTAATACAACATTGTCATATTTTTTGCTCAATTCATTTCTGATATCACCCACCAATTAAGTTGGACGTAGATATAAAAGTTTTTAGGAATGATGTTTTGGATTATCTAGTACATTAATAATGATTCTCCATCTTGTTACATATAATTTATCTTTATTATTTTTAAAGTTTAAAAATCACCATTCAAAATCTACGGATTTGTTTTGGAGCTTTATAAGTTTAAAGATTGTATTTGGAAGTGAGTTGGTCGTTCTTATATAAATGGGTAGGAAAGATCAAAATATACAGTTATCAAATGTCATAGTTTCTTTGCAATGAAAAATCTAATGTAATCTAGTTGATGTAATCATAGTATTAAATAATTTAGTTGAAAAACCAAAAATATATTCAATTTTAGAGAATAAGGATTGACATTATTAACATATAAAAAACGTCCAACTCAGTAGATAAGATATCTATTACTTTTCTTAACTTAAAAGTTCAATCTCTCATATGTTGTTCTAAGAAAAACATAGAATTAGAACAACAAATGTAGTAGGTGGATGTCAATTATTCGGTGGGGTTAGAAAAAGTTGAGTTGATTAAAAAAAATCTAATTTGTTTTTCTTTCTTTAATATTCTTTCTATCATTTCTCTTTTGTTCCATCTCTAATTCTCAACTAGTAAAGCTACGCGTCTCTCATCTTCGTCACCCGTCTACCTCTTTCTCTCTCTTGACGTCATTGGTTTTGGCTAAAATCGATCGATCGAATTATGAGTTCTAATTAAAATTGGTGTACTTAATTTTAACCCATCAAAATCAAATGGTTGGATTTTGGTTCCCCTAGACTTTGAAACACAATTTCTTTGAGATATAATGATTTTAGAAAATTCAAGTGGGGCGAAACCCTTTTGCCAATATAACAATATAAAAAGTAGTAATTATTTGTTTCGAAATTAATTAGGCAAAATCCATAAGAAGGGAATAGTTATTAAATATATAACCGTTTTTGCCGTTCCTCTCACAAAATGGGCATTTGGTCTAGTGGTATGATTCTCGCTTAGGGTGCGAGAGGTCCCGAGTTCAATTCTCGGAATGCCCCTATATTTTTCATTTTCATTTTTCTCTTTTATTTTTGTTTCTACTGTAGATGTGTATATTGGTTTTTCTCTCTTTTATTTTTTTTTTCTACTGTAAATGTTTATATTTTATAACGAGTTGGTAAACACCTTTTATGAATTTATTATTTCCCTTTTCATCGAGGATTAATATACAAATCCCGAACATGT